TTAATTAGATTAAATTATAATAAATTTGTTTTACAAAATTTTTTAAACATTTATTTATAATATAAGTTTAGTCAATGGAAGTCGTATTTATAATTTATTTTTAGAACTTTATTTTTTTAAAAATAATTAAATAAATTTTAACAGAAAACAATTATTTTTTTTTATGTAAATGTCTTATGTCTTGTGTAAATAATTAACAATCTAATACTTAATTATTAAGTATATAATGATAAATCTTCTTTAGTTTATTTTTAAGCAAACTCAATCTATGATTTTACAAATCATCAAATCTTGTAAATAATTATCTCTATTCTCGATGATAGTCTCTGCATATTAGCAAATATATTTTCTACAAATCGTTAAGATATTATTTTGAAAATAATTACTAATTATGGAGCTTTAACAATTTTTCTAAATTATATTTTGTTTAGAGCTCTAAGGCATACATAACTATATTCCTACATAACTCTTCAACTATAAAAGTTTAAATATAGTAGAAAAGTTTATATTTGCAACTATATTCCTACTTACAGACCTTCATATCAGTCTCTACTATTCTACACTATATCTTGATTGACATACCATGTCGTTCAGTTCTCTGTAGATTTCAATGTAGCACTCGTCTTGCCTCAAATTTCAATTCGAAGTATCTTTTTAAACCATCCAAAAACTGTAAATAAATTAGTTCAAACCACTTTATTTACATAAAGGGTTATAAAACTTTTCATTGTCAAAAAAATAAATACTTTGCATTATTTCAACATCAATCATTTTTCTTCTTAAATTTTTAAGTACTCTTTTATAATCAATTAATTCCGATCGTAATGTTTTTGATAATTGAAATAGTGTGCCTATTCATTGAGACTTAAAATTTAATTAATATAATAGCAACTGAAATGTATTCAAAAGCTTTGATAAAATTTTTTATGTAGTTATAATCTTTCCGAATAAAAAGGATATGGCAATACTCGAAACAACTGTATGGTCAGCCAAAAATTAAATTAAATGAATAATGTAATATTAAAAGAATTTTTGTTGTTATAGTTCACTACTTTTCGAACCCACTACCAAATATGGAACTTATAACTTATATCAAAAATATATGGTCTCGCCCGTGCGAATCGTGGAGTAACATAAGCTTATTTATCCATATTACGCTCCTAGCTTAGGTTCTATAGATAAAATAAATAATATAAAAGCATGCAACAAATAATGCTTCCACAAACGGAATAGTATTAAAATTTAACAATTAAAAATAAAAATATAATTAATTAATTCAATTATTCTACAGTTGGTTTATGATTTTGTTTTAATATAAACACAACAAGTGAATTTGTTAATAAACTTTCACAACCAATTAGCAAAACTCCAGAAAAATGTTCGAACATAAAAGTCAAATACGGTTTTGTATCTGTTGGCTAACACAGTACGCTGACTCTGAGCTTCAAATTTGACAGGGCACAAGTTCAATCCCTATTATTTGTAGTCTCAAAAAATTATTTATAAATAATTAAATACAAGAAATAATTCCAAGATCACTGATAATAGGTATTTGGAAATACTTGAAATATCTGTATGGTCAGTCAAAAATTCAATTAATTAAAATAATATAAAATGAATTTCTGTTGCTACTGTTCAATTCATGTAATTGATCGAGTATATCTGTATCTAAGCTCTAATGCCTGCATTATTGTGTGTTAAACATCTTGTTAAATTTAATAAAACCCTTTCACGCTCGGTATGCGGGGTATAAAAATACATAAAAAAATATGGACCTGTTTTTTTGGAAAAGGCTTATGTGAATTAGTTAAAAGCTTGTAAGTCAGTTTTTATTTTTAAATTTATATAAATATATAAAATATCGGATGATATTGTAATATATGAAATTAAAAAATATAATAGGAGCATATATTTTGTAATAAGTATTAGGTATATATCAAAATAAAAAAAAATTTAATTTACAAACTTTTATTTAAAAAAATAAACCATAACTACTCTGAAAATATGGACCATTTATCATATTGTGTAAAATAATCCTGCCTTTTCAATTCAAAGGAAAAAGCACCAACGTAAGCTTGTAGAGCAATATAAGCAGAAAAAGAAACAAGAGCATCGACTTTAAAAGAATCTTTATAAAAATATTGAAAAAGTTTAATTATTATAAAACAAAAAAAAAATTTAATAACTCATGATAAGTATTCTTTATTGGAAACTTTCCCGTTACTACTACATCTTAATAACTTAACATAAGAGTAATAAATTTCACTGCCAACCACTCGTGCTTCAGTAACTTTACAGAATACTTTACTTACTTTACTTAATCTTACATTACCACTTTTACTTCTTTTATATTATAAAATATTATTTTTTTTGTTTAATTTTTTTATAATAAAATATGTATTTCCTGTTTGTATTCACGTGTCTATGTGTTCATGTGAACAATAAAATAAAGTATATGTACAAGGATGTTGGTTTAAATGCCATTTACATTTTAGCACATGCATATTATTAAAAATTGGTTTTATTGTTTTGTCAGGCATTGAGTTCCTCACAAAGTACGAGTAGCATATCATATTTGTATGAAACAATTATCCTTTATCAAGCTCGCAGGTATCTGGCAATCTTTCTCTAGAAACGGAACAAAGAGTGAATTTAACAGTCATGCTGCTGAATGCATATGTGCTTGCGTGAACTTTGAATTTATGGATGTAGGCATTTGTCCTGTGTGAATAAGTTCTCTTTCTCTATTGTCAATGCTAATGTAATTTATGGCTTTTTGGCTTATCGATTTTATTAGAACAGCAATTTATCAACAATGCAATAAGCAACAATAGCATTTTTTACTCGGTTATAGTCCATTACGTATGCGTTGTATAAATATGTGTCTGGCTTATGTAAATAGGTCTGTCGGTAATTTGTACAAATAATATAAAGTTTTTTTTACATTTTTATTAGCAGGTGTACTTATATCTCTTAATGCAGTTAATTGCTTACATTTTAATCCATTTTTCATATAATCAGTAATTTAAATAAACACTACACACAAATATTAATATTAAACTAAATAATAGAAATAATGATTTTGAATAATAAAACATGTTAACGTTAATTTTTTTTTTGGCGAATGTGACGCGTCTTATGACGAAATGAAAATGGAAGGGTTCGAACAGTAATAATCAAGTAACAATAAAAATTTTAATTAAATTTTTTAAATTGAAATTTGGTTGAACAGCTTTGATTTCAAAAAATAGATTAGATAGAATAGATAGAGACAACTACAATAATAACTTTCAATTCGTTGAACTTGTCTTTCCAAATAAATCTATAGTTTATAAGGTCGTTCTAATTTAAAAAGTATGGCAAGTTCTTTGGTTAGTGGTATTTACAAATAAAGTGTCAAAAAAAAAACTCGGAACTTGAGCATTGAAAGTTTGTGCAACCTTGGCTACTGCTGTTAGGCACGAGTTCTAAGCCTGGCACTTGCACTCCAAAAAAATTATATACAAACTATAAACTAATTAAATAAAAATTCAAATATATCCTAAAGCCACTGATGATGAGTACAACACTCGAAACAGCGTATTGTCAGCCAATTTTCAATAAATTAACAAAATTTTTGTGTTTGTTCTTTCTTTTTTTGCTATTCGAAAAACCCTCTAAATTTTAAAAATAGCTTCTTCGGTATTATAAGAAAGCGTAGCTTTTTCGGCAACACTAATAAAAACTTTAAAAATTAAAAAATCAATTTAACATTAATGAATTAAAAATATTGGTAATCGTAAGTTTTTTATTCGAATTTAAAAAAAATATTATCTGTGGAATTTATTAAAAAATTTATTTATTTATAATTTATTTTTTATTTGAGAATTATCCTTTGTCAATTAAATTTTTAATACTATGTACAGATAGACATTAATCGGACAATATTAAAGGTAATGAACTCATAATTAAGTGATTCATGACACCCAGGAGAAGCCCAATTGCGCTTACATCAAAATTAGTTAAGCTGACAAAGGAATGGCATGAGTGCGTACAGTTCACAAACAGACTTTAATTGACCTTTAGGTGAGGTTATCAATTTTGAAGTAATTTTGGTTAAAGGAGCTGTTTGGCGTCTCGTGATTGTTTCTGTATATATATTATGATTGTTGATGCGAAAATTACTTACTGAAATGTATCCATTTTTTTTAATTTTTTAATTATGAAGAGAAGCAAACAAGTTGAGATATTAAATACTTTATAAGTCTGATTCTTAAATTGATTTGAAATTTATATAATTTTAATGGAATTCACAATTTTACTTAAATGATAAGAAAATATTTCAAATGAATTTTTAGAAAATTAATCTTATTTTACTTTTTTACATAAACTCGATTGCTTTAAAAACATGCAATGACGAGTACTCTTAAAAGTTTCGCTATTAACAGACGTTCTGTTGAAATATATTAGAAACGTAATTATTACTATTATTATATAGTGAAATTGGAACATTTTATTGTTAATAACTGTGTCCCATTGAATATTAAATTGGTAGTTCATAACCATTTCAAGTTAGCTTTTAGCCATCCTAGCCTTGGTTAGTATTAGGCTTACTATATGCACATCAATCAGGATGTCCAAACATTCCATGATCCATCGCATGGTGATATAACTGTTGGAAAACAAACAATCCCACGCAGTAAGAACAGGTATTGCTTACGTTATGTGTTCTAAATATAAGTTAAAAAAATAGAAATAAATATAATATTTTATGCAATACATATATTTTAAAATCAGACCACAGGGCGTATACGCAATATTGTCATAATGTCTAAATGCACATAAATTAAATTGTGAAATGAAGATTTTTAAATTATTAATTTTTTAGTTATATTTTGTATTTACATAACTACAGTGTTACTTTATAAATTTGGATCACATTTCGAAAACTTTTAAAATTTGGTATATATAAGTAGTATATATAAAAATAATAATATATTCATTTTTTTTTTTTCAGAAAAATTATTCTAAATGAAAATACAAAATAAAATGACCACATACTCCATCAACAAAAAACATTTGAATGTTAATGAACAATACTTCACAAATACTGATTTATACAGTAGAGGACGGTAAGTTTACTTTACATTAATGTTTATTATAATTTTTCTTTTTTGATATGTTAAAGTCATTTACCAATATCTAATATTAACTTTTTGCTAATATTGTATATTTTGCTTAAACTCATTATTACTAACTCAAATACGTACAAATGGCTGTTCTAAAATTACGAAACTTGTGACAATACTAATATCCTTCAAAAAATTAAGTTCGGAGCGTGCTTCAAGTTTGGCCCTGCCACATAACTCATTACTAGATATTTATGATAAACAGCAACAACAATGCAAATCTGTAACATTGTTACCAACAAATATAAACGTAGCAGCTAGACGCCACTCATCACATTATTATCCATTATTGGAAGATACATCACAACAGCAACATAGGCAACAAACAATCTCACAACCCAATTTGCACACAGCACAAGCGATAATATCCAAAGCAACAACAATCGTCACAGAAGTCGGTGTCGGACATACTGCAACTACCAATATCACAGAGCCATCAGTGAACTTGAATTACAACAATAAGCGAACACAACTACAAGCGCATAACGTTTATACAATGGCCGCTACTGTTGTAAGTGATTAAAAGAATATCATTGGCTGCATTTGTTAACTGCACTTAATCATTGCTTTTAACATTATCACACATACACAGTTACCAAAAACAGCAACTATTTTCATGATTTAAATACTAATTGAAGCGATACATCTTAAGTGAAGTTAATTAAAATTAGTAATAATCAGTAATTTACTGATTTCCATAACACTTAATTAAAGTAATATACTACAGTGCCAATTAGTTCTTAAATCCTACTTAATTATGAAATTAATACATTTTTAATTAGTTTTATTTATTTTTATCAATTATAAAATTTTAATAATAATAAGTGTTTTTTTAAATAATAATCACTTGAATAAATAATCATTTTTTTAGTAATCATCACTTTAATTTTATTATATTTTAAACATATAAAAAATATGAAATTCACTAAAAATAATTAAAAATCAATTTTTTTCAATTGCACAATTCTTTTTTTTCGTATATAGAAATATTCATTAAATAAATATAAAGAGGTTTTTCGAAAAGTAGTGAACTATAACAACAAAAATTCATTTTATATTATTTTAATTAATTGAATTTTTAGCTGACCATATAGCTGTTTCAATTATTGCCAAATACCCATCATCAGTGGTCTTGGAAATATTTCTTGTATTTAATTATTTGTAAATAAGTTTTTGAGACTATCAGTACCAGGAATCGAAATCGTGCCCTGCCAAATTTAAAGCTCAGAGTCAGTGCACCCTAACCAATTGACCCAAAGCCTTACTTGAATTTAATTAATTAATTATATTTTATTTTTAATTGTTAAATTTCATTACTATTCTGTTTGTAGAGGCATTATTTGTTGCATGATTTATGTATTTATTTTTATTTTGTAAATATAAGTTGTAATTTAACGTCAAATTTTTTAGGCGGAAGTGACTATTTTATTTAATAGAAACTAACTAACAAAAATTTTATATTATTTTAATTAATTGAATTTTGTGCTGACTTTTCGCAAATTATATATCTTATATAATTTGCAACATTTAATAATAAAATTTTGTAAAAATATGATACTGATAGTAAGTGAAAAAATCGTTTCATTAAGTAATTGTCCAAACATTTAGTTTACGTATGTGAGTAGCTATACTCAAATCTCAATCACTCTGAATGAAACTTAGTATAATAATAGCTGGAAACCAAATACGAAAAAAACGGTGAATGAGGGCAACTCATGCAATTTTGTCATGGTACTAATTAACATGCTATATTGTCTTTATGAAAGAGCATTTTTTCGTCTTTTTTTCATCAAATACTCCAATAGTATTCGCTATTAATTCTAGGTTTTTCAAGGTAATCGATGAATAAAATATTTTGCACACTTAACTGACTACCGATTTACCTCTTGAGTGTAGCAATGTTTCTGTGTTTCATCCATTGTCACATATTGCATGAAATAATCCATTTCATTGCACTAAAACAGTACATAGGTATAGTGCTCTTCACCATTGATGCGTTGTTTTTTTTTATGTTAAATTTTTTGTAAAAGTGGTATCTATATCTAGTACTCATTTCATGTCATCGAATGCTCATGTATTCGAATATTTATATTGCCCCCTGGCATCTATAACAGTCAGCTTACTCTTCGAATTTCACTTAACAGCCATTTCAAAGATTTTTTTGTTGCTTCGTGTTAACCATCTATCGGTATCAGAGCAGTCATCTATAAACTTTGCAAATAGTTGATTTCGACAAAGCAAAGGCATCATCATACATACATTTTAAGGCATTGTTGAATTGAACAGTATTTTCTTCCATTAAAAATCAGTATATCACCAGCACACGTTTTCAAACTATTCCAGTGTTTTTAAAATTGCAAAAGTACTGAAATACTGACTTTTCAAAAATCTTAAGGATTTGTAAATATTGGAACCATTTTTATATCACTCTAAGCATTTAATGAGTGACTGTCAAGCATTGTTCCCAAGAACTGTAAGTACTTCATATAAATCTAAGGATCTGGTTTGAATAGAAAACTACTACGGCCATGTGCGAGTTCGAGTAAATTGATAATAAATTGAGGGAAATAGTAAATTATGTCGGTATGGCAGCGAATGTTGGTATTTACCTGAATTTCGAATAGGTTAAATTAGATAAAAATTAGGTACATTAGGTGTTACCATTGTGAAACTTTTATAAGATGTTTAAACTAAAAATAACTAAAAATAATAAATCAATGCAATAAATCAATATTTACATAAGTGCAGTGCAAAAATCCCTAGGAAATTTCAATTCACTTTACCTCAATTTACTCGAACTCGCACACGGACTATATGTATAGATTGTGGGATTGAGTTTAGATAAAGTTACAGCTTTATAAGCCAGTTTGTTTTGGTGTTATCGAATATAGATCATATGTGGGTCTACAGATCGAAGTTATCCTATGTGGTTCTGTCAGTTCAGATCGTATATTGAGTTGGAAAACATTTATTAAAAAAACGTTAATAAACTTACAATGTTTGATAGAACTAAAGTTAGTTTCTAAAAGGAACGAGCAATTTCTTCTTCTTAGCCTTCTATTATCAAGATAAGCCTATTTTCTTTATGCAAAAAAGCGTCACATAATAAGATTTTATTAATTATCAATTTTTATTACTTTGGTCTTTTCAAAAATTAATTCATTTCTGATGCACTCTAGACTTGTCAAACGATTTTTGATTTAAAGTTAATAATTATTCTAAATAAAATTGAAATTTGAATAATTTCTATTATTGTTGATTGGCACTTTTTTAAACAAATATTGTATAATAATATTATATAATATAACAAAATTCTATTTAGTTTACTTCATTTTTAATATAACTGCTTTAATGTAAAATTAGTATGTGTTTTTTCGTAGATTAAAAACTAGATTTAAATAAAGTTATAAACAGAACTAATATTGAAATCCTGAAATTTTTTAACTCAATACATAAATTAAACTTTAATCACTTTTACATGTCACAAAATTAAATTAATTAATAATTAAGTGAACAGGAAATATTTTGCAGGGAATAACATACATATATATTTGATATCATTTAAATATGAATGATTTTATATGTACTTTTTGATTTACAGGTAAATAACGAGGAAAATAAATATATTGGAAACACGACTGTTTCCGCATCATTTGTAACCCCTGTCCCAGAAACACCTCCACCACCAATACCAAAGCGCACTTTTCGTGGTAAAAGTGCATGGGATGCTACTGGCTCGCCAGCAATAGCTACCAAACAATCAACTAAGATTATAGAGCCAAATAATTTAGGTACGGCATTCGTCTATCCACAACAATCAAAATATCAACTACAACAAACAAATTGCTACAGCAATATAAGTAACAACGAAACGATTTTCGTTAATATTGCTTCAGGTCCACTGTTTTCGGATAGTGCTGGCAGCTTGGATGGTGGTGAAATATCGGATGATGATCACATGAGTTTGGAAAATTCGGTATTTGACGAGTCCTTAACATCTACACCAGTTAAAATAGCTTCAAATAATAAGCCTCAAAACGCTATTTTTGGTGCCAAGACATTAGCAGCACTTACGAATGACTTGAGTAACGCTGCAAAAAGATCAAATCGTTCGTCGAGCAGCACAGTAGATTCTACTACAACTTCATCTGGTTATGGTTCGCATAGCGAACGTTTTGCATCTACTTCAACATCAGCAGATTTTCGCAGTCGCTACTCTTCAGTAGATACACAATCTTCACTGGATAGTTGTCTCACTGAAAAGACGAACGATTCACCTTTATCAAAAGATTCATTTAAAATGGAACGCGTAACGCAAAATGATTTAGGACCTCATGATTATAATAATCTCAACAATAATGAAATAATTAAAAATACACAAACCAGCGCAACAACTAATAATAATACACTTGGAAATCAAACAATTCCAAATGATGGAATACAAAAGTTACCTACAGTTCCAATGCGTAAGCATTATACTATACCTACAAAAATCCCTCCACCGACTTCAAAACAAAATCTTATGCTGAACAGTTCACAACAATCATTACAAAATAGTACTGGCAGTCTTTGTGGAAGCAGCAATGGTAGTAAGGCACCCTCAACTGTCTCTGCATCTACATCAACTTCATCTACTGCATCAGCTGGATCATCAAATGGTTCATCCATGTCTGTGACTTCAGCAACAGCTTCATTAACAGCGGTGTCTCCTCAAACTCACAATGCACCAGTCCAACAACAACAACAGAAACGTCCAGTACCACCAATACCTCCAAGCCGTACTCTAACATCAAGTTCCATTGAAAGTACAAATGGTATATCAGAAGCCATAAAACCACCTTTAACTAAACGTAATAATGTTAATAAAAACAGACCACCACCAATTGTGTACCCAAAACTACACCAGCGGCAAGATTCTAATTTGTCAAGTGATTTTTCGGTGATCTCTAGTCCAGGATTCAATACAAATATTTTGGAGACACCATTATTGCAGAATTCAGCACGCATTAATAAAAGTAGTAGTGGTGCACAAACGCGACAGGACCCAAACGAACAATTCAACATGAGTACTTCTCGTTATGGGTTTAATAGTATGGTACCTCCACCACGTAATAAACTAAATTATCGGCAAGACTCAACAATATCTAGTGATAGCTTCAGTCAGACATCTAGTCCCGGCTATAATACAAAAATCATGGAAGCCCCCTTGTTGCCATCTTTATCAGCCAAGCGGTTATGTAGTGGTAAGATAAAAAAATTATAGAAAATGTTTATTATTCAATATGTTACAAAAAAAATTGGATTGAACCATTTTGAACAGTTAATTTAAAAGTTTTTCTAACAGTATTAATAGATGTCACTATAAATTTTCTGGTGGTCAAAATAATATTGAAACTAAATTCTGTATTCTATCAAAAGTGTTATCATTCTCATGTGTTTTACTAAATGAATATTTTTATTATATTTTCTAAACTTTTACTTTATTAAAATTATTATTTTCAGTGCCAGCACCAATAGTCTGCAAACAAAGAATTCAAAATGAAACTATTGAAGAAAATGAACTCGTATTACCCATCTCACCACTTACAAAGTGTAGTAACGCTCCTACCAGCATGCAAACTATTGTACGTTTTCAAAATGGAGCACCCAATACCATACCACTTCAGCATGGAGTAAGCATTTTATTATTTGTTCTATTGTTGAGTTATATTTTAACAAATATATCAAATACTTTAGATAATCCATCGACGTAAAAGTTCTAATCCTTACATCACAAATGGGCGTCTCAAATTCCGACTTTTTCAAATTTTGGTCAACGCCCTTGCATTATTAGCTATTGCGGGTGGCTTAGCTGCTTATTTCAATGCATATCCAACAATAAAATTTGTTAACAAAACAATCATTAATACAATTCACGTTGAAGAAGTTTCCAGCTTTGGCAAAAATCCAGCTCCAGGCACATGTTTACCTATTATAGTCAAGTTTTGTCAAGGACCCCAAATACCATATAATTATACAGTGTTCCCAAATTATATTGGACACTTTGGCCAGCTGGAGACTCAAGTTGTAAGCGTAAGACTTATATCTAAGTTTTTTGTACTCATGAGTTTAATTTTTATAGGATCTTGATCCATATGAAGCACTGGTAGATGTTCGTTGCTACGAATTGGTTTCGTTATATCTTTGTACGCTTTTTGTACCTAAATGTGGCTCTACTGGTGCTACAGTACCTCCATGTAAAACACTTTGCACTGAAACCATGCGTCGTTGTGGCTTCTTTTTTGACGTTTTCAGCTTGAGTTTACCGGAATATTTGAATTGCAAGTTATTTAAGGATTTTGAAAGCCCTGACGATTGTGTTGGTCTCGATCAAGTAAGAGACGTTATGGTTGCCTCAACGAATCCAAAATGTGATGGATTTCAGTGTGACCAGAATCGCTGCATACCAAAAGATTATGTATGCGATGGTCATTTGGACTGTATGGATCACTCGGATGAAGCAAAATGTGAACGCTGTGGAGAAAATGAAATCTATTGTGGTGACGGTCATTGTATGAGTTCTGAAGATATATGCAATGGTGTCATTGATTGTCCGTTTGGACAAGATGAACGTAATTGCCGTAAGTTATTAATTAACTTCACTTATATTCACTTATAAATAATTATTCACTCCATTTTTATATGTATGCATATGTATAATTATTTTTAGTACGCTTAAGTGAACGAAATGGTGATTTGGGAAAAGGTGTTTTGGAAATTTATCGAATAAAGAAGGAGTCATGGACACCGGCTTGCGTTAAGAATTGGGATCGAGCTGTGTCTCCCTCAGTTGTTTGTTCTATGCTTGGCTATAGTGCAGTTAATGCCACAAGTGTGGTAACTCAAAAAACATATCGACCCCTATTGACTTCAGTTAATGTTTCCACTAATATTTGGAAAATGTATGCAAAGAAACGATCTAATTTAATGCAAGAATTTTCTAATTGCAAACCTGAAGAAGACTATCCAATAGCTGAACTAACATGTACAAATTTTGGTAAGTCCATATTGTAAAATATTATGAAACAAGATCTTTAGTTCAGGATCTTTCACCACAGTGTGTTTAAAAGCGATAAGTACTTAAGATTTGAAATTTATAAATATTTGCACCTATTCTGTATTCTGTCTTATATTTTTACTTGATAAAAATCTTAATCATTTATCAATATGTTTTTGATAAATTTATCAAGTTCATAAAATAGGTGGATTAGTTTATTTTTGTTGAATAGGTATTTTTTTTTTTGATTATTGAAATACTCTCTTTTCTTTCAATTTTAGAATGTGGTAAAGTGAAACGTGAAAAACATAAACCTCAACGTCGTATAATAGGTGGCTCCTTATCTAACCCTGGATCATGGCCGTTTTTAGCTGCTATATTAGGTGGTCCTGAAAAAATATTTTACTGTGCAGGTGTGCTAATATCAGATCAATGGGTGTTAACTGCATCGCACTGCATTGGAAAGTAAGTTGTAAAAATAACAATTATTGTGTTTTAAAATACTAAATGTATATATTCTCTACTCCCAATTAGTCACACTATAATCGACTTAGAAGATTGGACAATACAACTTGGTGTAACACGTCGGAATTCCTTTACATATTCTGGTCAAAAAGTTAAAGTTAGAACAGTAATACCCCATCCGCAATATAACACAGCAATTGCACATGACAACGATATTGCGCTTTTTCAGGTAATTTCTTTGCAACTTAAAGTTTGTCTAAAGATATCTAAGATATATGTCTAAGATATATGAGTAATATCTAAGTTGACTTTCCGGATTTAAATTAATTTTTTAGCTCGCAACAAGAGTCGCATTTCATGAACATTTACTGCCGGTTTGTTTACCACCGCCAGGGTTGAAACAACTAAAACCTGGTCAATTATGCACAGTTATAGGTTGGGGGAAACGGGAGGATAAGGATCGTAAGTATAGATTTATAAAAATTTACTACCCATTCAAACACTTTTTGTTGTATTACTCAGCTAAATCCACATATGAGCCTATAATTAATGAAGTAGAAGTGCCAATTATTAAACGACAACAATGTGATGAATGGCTTGACAATCTTACAGTTTCTGATGGAATGATTTGTGCCGGTTACGAAGAAGGTGGTAAAGATGCTTGTCAGGTAAAAAATTGTTTATACTTATAAAATGCTTTACATATGTATAAACTATTCAGACGTGCTCGACAACTTCGTTAAAGTGATGCAATTTTATGTATATTTGGTTTAGCGAAATATAGCGTTGCTGAGTTTTCGAGATATCAGGTCTGATCAAGTCTTCGGTGTTCAGTAAAGCAATAACTGATTGTTATTTCACAAAAACACAATACAAAGCATTTTATGCTTTGTATATGTAATCGCTTAACTGATTACATAGTTATCGCATTATATCTGAATACCATTTATGTATTTATATGATTTGATATAACATAAAAGTATATGTTTGCTGTTTTTTTTTGTTTTTCAGGGTGATTCAGGTGGTCCATTACTTTGTCCATATCCAGGAGAAAAAGATCGTTGGTTTGTTGGTGGTATAGTTTCTTGGGGTATAATGTGTGCACATCCGAAATTACCAGGAGTTTATGCAAATGTTATAAAATATTTACCATGGATACAGGAACAAATGCAAAAACATACAAAACCCATAACGGAGGATAGAATATCTAAATACGATGTACATCCAGGTGGACCAGATATTTTATCTAATATATCCGTCGGTCCTGTACGTAACAAAAAACCATACAACAATAATAGAAATCGTAGCCCAGCTGATATTGAATATTACGAAAGCTTTGAAAAATCTTAAAAAAACTATATAAAGAACATATAATAACTATATAATTTAAAGGTAAACCCATCCATTAAATATGAAAATAAATATGAAATAAAATAAAATAAAAATTTTACATATATAACAAGTTAGTGGTATTGTTGTATTTTGTAGTTTATATACATATAGATATATAGATATTTATGTATGTCGCAAGAGACAATAAAAAATTATAGTGAAACTCTAGTAAAATAACTAATTAAATGAATATTATCATATCTAATAACAGTGACATTGTTCACAATCCTATTTATACTTATATGTATAGAAACGTTTCTGCTCCTTGAGCTAAACAGCCCTTATAGTATTTCTTAGAGGTACATAGTATGTACGTATGTATATTCTGTTTTTTTTATTTTATAATATTTTCAATACAATACATATAGTTTTAGTATTAGTAAAAGGAGAAGTGTAAGCAAGCATATATGTAAAATTTTTTTAATAACAAATAGAGTGACTCTTGCGTTAGTGAAGATATATCAATTCTCTATAATAACATATGGTACAGGCTTTTTGTGTAAATCTAATTCATAAAAAATCACAATACACTTTATATTACCTATATCACATGTCTAGATAATCTTTATATGATGAAATTATTTTCTAAATAGTAAACGATTATCCTAGACGATTATTTTACAATAACTTTTACGAGTTGAACTCTTTTTAATAAGAAATTAAATTTATAATTTTCATTTATGTTATTTTGAAATAAACGTTGAGGTCATGAAGTCATTACATTTACGTATTGTTTACACTTGAACTTTAACTAAAATACATAATCAACTGTCAAATTTCGAATTTATACTTTTAAATATTTTTATAAATTTTATATAATATATCACTATTTAATTAATATCATAAACCCTTACCTAGAATATATTGAAGTTCAAATAAGTTTCTGCACTTACTAATATTATCAATTATTGTGTCAATGAACGCTCGTTATAGTGTTTATTTTAAGTAATTAATGTGACCTTTATACACAACTATTAAAAAAGGAATTAAAAATAAATTAAATATATATATATATTATATAATGCATGTACATGTATTTATTAAATGTAAACATATTTATATACTATGAGCTGTTATGTTGTAAAATAGATGTATTTTAGAAAATTATACAAAGTGAAAACATAATGATTTATATGGAAAATAAATAAATTAATAAATAAATAATAATATACCTAATTACAAAATGAAAATGGCGACAATAAAGTATAAAGGGACAGTGTAGAATTAAGGAATAGGGTAGTATAACACATAAATATGTAAGAAGGTATAGACAAGTCACAAATTACTGAATATTTTTATATGAGAAGAGAATGAAATATATATAAAATGATTTTTATATACAAGATTTGAAACAGAACTATATATGTATATGAAAAAAAAATTATATAAATGTTATGAACAAATATAAAAAAAAATATTTATATATATTTAACGTTTATACTAAAACTAAATAATAAAAAAAACTATTGTATTTCAATCAAAAGACAATACACAACTAAAAGTTACTCAGTAATTAATAAAAAATGATATATGTATGTGAAGAAATTTTATTTTAAAGTATTAAAAATATTAAAATCAATCTTTATAAAAATATAAAAATGTACTGAAGACAATAAGATACATAGAAAATTATACATGAAAATAATGCAAACTCTTCTGTTAGAATAAATTTTGCATGCTTAATGTAGTTTGCTGAACAAATAAAAATCTATTATAATATATATAATATAAATGTTTAAGACTTAAAGAAATAATAAAGTCATTGTTGTTGTTAAGCAAATATAGAAATAAAAGAAAAGAGTAGATGTGTACACTATAATATAAATAAAAAAAATAATAATTAACTCAATATGCTTCTATTATAATAATATAAAATGTAATATATGAAAAATATATTATTTTTAAAAACAAAACCAAAAACAAAGTAAATGAATTCAAAAAGAAATAATTATATGCGTGGGTTTCAGCTTTAATATATGAAATGTATATGTATTATATATATTTATATATAAATAAAACATTTATATATAAACATATATCAATATATAAGTTATATATGCGCTATATATTTAATGTGTTGGTATCTACACTAAACATAAATAAACATATGCATAGGAACTATACAAAATATTAGAAATATATATATATATATTTTGTCTATTTGTATATATTATTTAAAATTAAATTTTGTTTTGAACTTTTATACATATCTTCTTATATTATGTTATCATTATAATACTCCTTAAAAATTATATTTTTCATTACTTGAACTAATGGATTTTTATGTTATTATATTTTTAGTATTTAAATAGATATACGCAATATAAATAATATCAATTTTTTGATACCCTACTATATATAATAGAATAAATAAAATTGTTTTTGCTTATTAGATTTCTTTCCATTTTATAATAGAAACAAGCATAAAAACTCCCAAATAGTAAAAAAAATAAAACTAAATATCATTTGTTTAAACAAAACAACAACAATAATTTAATAATGTTTATAATAAATTTTTCTATTTCTTTTTAAAATCTGTAATACAGACTTTATAATAAATGAACTCTACAATACAATTAATATGCCTAGTACACATATATACTAAAAATAATTTGTATATTTAATTAATAATTATTTAATTCCTATTATTTTCGTGATTTACTAATTCTAATATAAATATCTACCATATTAATAACATAAAGTATAAGTATATTTTACATTTTAAGTTGACTTGATATTATATATAATCCCACTTATCAACCATTAGGATTTTTTTAAACTATATATATATTGTATATTATTTTTATTTTTTGATTTATTTAAAAAGTATTCTGATTTCAAAAACAAAAAGAGTTGTATACATGAATTTATATATACATTTATATTATATACATACTTCTACTTATATAGAAAAAAAGTGTAGCTATACTTATATATTTTTAAATAAAATAATTAAAAATGATTTTATAAGAAATTAATATTAATAAAAAATAGAAAGATTTTCTAAAGTAGTTTAAAAAGTAAACTGCTTTTTGTAGTGAAAGTGCTTGAATTATTATATATTGAATATAGGTGTTTGCTATATACAAAATTAAAAGTAAAATACATTTATATATGTCATATATAATAACATTGGTGGATATTAAATAAGTGTTATGAACAATCATAATCAATTATTTGTCAAAATTATACAAAGATGCATTCTATATACTTATACTTATGAAAGCGTATATACACATTTACCATATATATGTACTTAAATATATATTTATCTATATGTATATGTACATATATATATTTGTATATTTATGTACATATAATTATATGTTAGTAATCATTTTGTATTTTTATGATGAAATATCAAATTTCTCATGTCATTTTGCTTATAAAACCACTTTAATTTAAAAGTGAAATATTTAAATTTTATTTTATTTTTTTGTTTTTGATATTGAAAAAAAAAAATTATGTGACTTAAATCGAGTCAATTTTAAAACTTTTTAAAATAAGTTAAACATATAAACGCATGTGAGTATGCAAGTAAATTTATAAACGCACATATACTTTAATTTATGAAATGATGTTTATACATACTTAACATATTTAATAAAAAAAGTTACTTATAATAATATCATTTCTAAATTTTATAATTTTTTACATATATAATAAATTCGTTGAAATGCTTTAAGTTTTGTTAATATTTATTATAACTTCTAAAAGTTATAATTAAAAATCGTATATATTTTATTGTAAAAGTGTTGTGAGCAAAAAAGTAATAAAATACATAAATATCAAACAATATATGAGTATAAAGATATATGTAATTTAAACAAAATAATATTTCTCAACTAACATATATAGCACATTTGCTTTAGATGGAAGTATATCTATCACATATACATATGCTAAATAAAACATATAATAAAATATTAAAAATTTTCACAATTTTTCTATTTATAATTATTATAATTATAATTTCTAATATATTATTAAAGTTTTAATTTAGAATTTTATTGTAAATTTCGTTAATTAAATTAATTAATTATTAATAAGTTATTTAAAAAACAATTGTTTTTGTCTTCTTTAGATAAAAATACAAGTATCTACTAAACAATGGAATGTACAATTAAAATTGTTTTTTTTAAAGATTTGACAAGAATTAATTATAAAAAATTTATTTAAGAAATGAAATTCAATTTTTTGTGTCCTTAATTAAATTCTAAAATTCTTTTCAAATATTGAACTTTAATAAATAATTTGCAATGTCTACAATACATAACTTCAAATAAATATAAGCTGAATTATTTTATTAGAAAATATTAATGAAATCATGTATAGCAGGAAATTGCACTTATAGATAATTAATTAAAGTATTATAGATAGTACTTGCGCTGATACTTCCGCATATCGAAACTTGCGCAGAGCGATAGTTCCAACATAAAAAATGTTCATTATGTGCTCTCCATTTCCGACATCTGGAAATTATGAAATCGATATTTCTGACATTTTTGTTAATTCTTGCATGAAACTCTTATTAACGTTATCTTGGAGTAAATAAATAATTTAGATTCTTCCAATAGCTGTCATTGCTGAAGTAAGAACTTTTTTTATATATGTATTTGTAATGATATCTGTGTTCAATGATCTAAAATTGCAATAAGAACTATAAATATTTTCAGAACTCATCAAAACTGCAAACATTTTGATGTTTAAGAATGTATGTCTGCGAGAATACGAGTAATTTGAATATATGCCAACTTCATATTGTGTTCTAGCATTTCTGTGTAAAATTTTTTTGTGTCCAATTAGCTAGATAAATATCTTTTAAATAAATGAATTGCTCATTTTAAAAATTCGAATTCAAGTAGTGTAAATCTGCTCGCCCATTTGAACACTTTTGAGCAATAATTACAATATATTAACTATACTGCATATGATTTAATGCTCTATATAGGTATACATATATACATATTTTTTTCCAAATAACAGAAATACCAATTAACCATTTATTGCCCATAATATAATCGACACCCATAATGAAACTTATGGATACTTAAGATTTTGAGTTAAAGAGTTGTATTTCATTTCCAACGTATTTACTCTAAAGAATATAAGATGCAATAACATAAATTCATTTAGAAGTTCGAATCAGAATAATAAATCTGCTTATTTGAAAATACGAGTATATATTCATTCTGACAGTACGATACAATTTTTAAGAAATTGTTTTCATCAAATAACTTATTAATTATTTAATTTTCTAAACTTACAAATTTTTAGAAATACATATATAGAAAGATTCAACCTAAGACTACATAAACGCAAAAAAATAAAGTTTAATTTCGAAATTATGTTTTATTAATATATATGCAATAAACTAAAGAATTCAATCAATTAGAAAATTAAGTCAAAACTATCAAACATTTAGTATTACACTATTCATATAGAAAAACTACGTACCAATTTTTTTTAACATATTCAAAAACAATTTTTAACTATCTTTATAACTTATAAAATAGAAAATTTATTAAAATTATCAAATTTATTTTAAGAATTTAAAATATTTAAACTAAATAAATTTTTTAATTTTACAATAATTTTTATTATTAATAATCTTATTTTTTTCAATTTTTTTTTTAAATGAAATCTTTTAAATAATTAAAACAAATATCTATTATTTGAAGTTTAACATTTATTTTAATAAATGCTTTATAAAGATTATACATGTTTTTTTGTTGATGTGAAAAATATATAATCCTAAAATACATATTAACTAAATAATATAAAAATGATCGCTACTATAGCAACATGGATAAAATAAATATTGCACTTGTTAAAAATGCACAAATTTAAACAGTAAAACTGTAAAAATTCATATATAAATTATTCTTATAAAACGCTTTTTACAAACAAACCAAAAATAAAAGTTGATGTAGAAATACACTAAATGTAACACATAAGATTTGAAACAAAATAAAAGCTTTGTAATGATTATAGAAAATGTTAGGTGGGTTGTTTATTGTGTATGATAATATATTTTAATAACTTTTAGCGAAGAGATTCCAAATACTTAAATCAAAATGGAGCAAATTTGTAAAGGTATAGAACGTTAAACACAACACATATTTACATATATAAATGTTGAATAAAATAAATGTCAACAAAAACTGCAATATTAATCTTTTTTATTTAATATTACCAAATCTAGAAGAAATGCAATATGTTTTATAACAAAAATTTATCTTTTACAATAGTTAATAGTGATAATAAGTAATAGCATAATTAAATGACATATATTTATAATTAGGATAGTTTCAGGATAGTACTTAGTCGCCGCTAATTGGCTATAATTACATCCCATAGTTCTTGTCTTTTCAACAAGCAACAATCTCACATCAGCATTTTATACTAATGACATTACTAATAAATTAAAATTAGTGTCAGATAATTATAAATTTATAATTAACGTCTTATTCCCATAGTTGAAATGTAGACTGATAGCGCTTACCTGTCATAATATCGATATTGCTTAGGAACTAATTAAAATTATGTCTAAATTATTATGTAATCGTATATTGTTTTATATTTGTGCCAAACATATTTATTTCACATAAAATTTTTTATAAAATATTCTAATATCTAGACCCAATTTACTATATAAAAAAAATTGTTTTTAAAAAATATATATATGTACACAGTACCATTTGTGATTAAGCTTCATTGCTATTAGTTTTTTGCAATGCAAATAAATGCATAAGACAATACAAAATAAAATTGCTAAGTACTCCATATCATATCCCCTACTACATCGTACAATTTTGATTCATTTATTATACTTTCTCACTATATTTTTTAAAGTATCGATAACCTCACGTTGATCCGCAGCTTGTATCACTGCAGTGCCAGAAACAATCATATTTGCGCCAGCCTATTGAAAATAAATTTGTTTATAATAATTTAACACACGGTATATAAATAAAGTTTTTACTTTAGCACAACATTCTATTGTCTTTAAGCCAACGCCGCCATCCACTCCTATATCTAAATTTGGATATTGTTGACGCAACCATTCTACTTTTGGCATCATATTTGCCATAAACGATTGTCCTCCAAAGCCTGGTTCAACAGTCATTATAAGCACAACATCTGCCATGTCAATATATTTTTCAAGAGCTTTAACCTATAATTTATGGGATGGTATGGATATAAATAAATAATCTAAGTAATTATCCTTGTTTATACATTATTCACATGCTGGAACTACTATCAATAATAACTTACACATGTACCTGGTTTAATCGCTAAACCAACTTTCATGCCTGACTCCTGCACTTTACGACATATACTTGGTACTTCAGATAACACAGGTTCAATATGAAATGTATATAAATTAACACCAGCATCTGCCATAGGTTCTATCCATTGCTGTGGTCGCGATACCATCATGTGTGTTTCAAAATATGCTGTCTACACATAAAGAGCAATTTGTTTACGTAATTTTACATATGTGAATAATATATGAGCTTACTTTTATCTTTTGACGAAGACTTTTTACAACTGGATGACCGAATGTGAGATTAGGAACAAAATGTCCATCCATTACATCCAAATGCATATAATCAGCGCCATTATCCAAAAGTTTCTGCGTTTCTTCTGCGAGATTCGACAAATCCGCATTTAAAATAGAAGGTCCAATTTTTGCACACACTGGCATTTTTTTCGTGAGGCTTGTTGAAAATGATTTTGTAAACAACTTATAAAGCATATAAATGCGGTCAACTAATGTCAAATTAAAGTGACAAGCCTATTCACAATAAAAAGCCGGAAAAATTTTAAGTTAACTAAAAATGTTTTTGTATTATTTTCGGCACAAAAATTTTATTCATTTACTTCAAGTTGATATATTTCACAGAAATTAATTTTTATTAAATTATAAAAATATAAATGATTTACAATATAGGAATGAAAAATATTTCACTTTAAATATAAATTTAAATGATTTGAGTTATCACAAATTAATCTAAAATTAATGAGTTGTTCGATTTATAGAAATACGTATCCATTATTTAATATATACTTAATATAAACTTAAGTTGATACTCTTTGCGCATGCACAAATCCAGTTTTTACAATTCATCTTTTTCGTCTGTAGTTTCGGCATAGACTCCGGGATATTCTTTATTTTCAATAGTTACACCTTTACAGCGTTCCTGTTGTATTAAAAAATCCTTTGCTCTCCAAGCTTGTTCACCGTCTTTAAACATAAATATTGCTCTATCATCATCAACCATATAGCGCTCGGCTTGTATATGATTATTCCATAAACTAGTTTGCCAAAGTTTAGTAATACTTTCTGCTTCATCCCTTGTTGGATTACCACCAACTGATACAAATGTCATAAGCGTACGACCTTTTTTAGAGGCTTTAAGTATTTCCTCTGGATTGTTAGGATCAAGTTTTGTTAAATCAAGCTTTGCCTGAGGTCGCAAATGTTCTGGGAGTTCGTCAGCCTCTAACTCATCGTCGCCCTCCTAAAAAATTTTAAGACATTATAACATTATAAAAATGTATGCATGGCGTATAATACCTCCCACTGATCTAATAAACGTTCGAAATCAGCATCAGAATAATCTCTAATATCTTTTTTAGCCCATTCTGGCTTTTCGCCGTCTTTTGATTTTTTGGCTAAAATTGTTGATATTGTGATTAATATCACAAAAATTAATACTAAACGCATATTTTACACTCCCAGCTTATTCCAAACACAAAACTTTATTGATATACCGAAAAGACACACGTCACTATTGTCAAAACAAACGATTCACAATGGATTTAGAAGTACGATAAAATATTCACAGTACGTTAAAAGCGCGTTTACTTTAGTGTCAATTTATATCTACAATTATTTATTGTTTCTTTTTTATTTCATCAACAAGTCAATCCGCCTTTTAATTTGATTAACAACCAATTGAACGGAATTATCATATTCAGTGTATATATTATTTATATTTCATCCATAAGCGCCATGGGTTAATAACAGTGAGAATTGTTTTGGTAATGTCCCATCAGTATCCTCTACATTTATAAGTTGATTTTACTAATGGACATTAGATTTCTAATAGGAATAGTTTGATTTCTAACATTATATGGCTATGATTAATAAGATTAAAAAATGGCTTAAACATGACTTTGTTATGTTAGCAGTGGCCGATTCAAAAAAGAGATGCGAATATTTTACATGTTTTCAGAAAATAACAACTGTTTTTGATTCACAGAACAATTATATAAACAATAAACAATTTAAACAATTATTTTTCAATAATGTTTTTTTGCTATTGTTTAGATTCCAATTCTTTCTTTGTGAACTTAAAATTTGTGTATATATTTTTGAATTTTGTTTTATTTTATATGTTAATATTAGTCATTTATAGTCTACATGACTAAACTTAATTCGATAATTATGCAGCAATAAGTATTATTTTTCATACAAAATATATAAAAATATGTTAAAGAATTTGATAAGTATAAGTGTAAATATAATAATATAGCGTGTTCTGTGTTCTATATGTATAGTTTTGTATTCTGCTTTTTTTCATAAAATTCTATAAAAGTGTAATTGTAAAATGTAAGAACAAATACGAAAAAAATTTAGAGTAGTATATAACATACTCTACTCTAAATGCGAACATATAATAGATCAATAACTGATGTATAATATTATCTATTTGAATGAACGGATTTTAGGATATTAACGATTTTTTGATTCACTATTTTTTTGAGATTTTTCTTTTTTGAGTTATTCACCATGTATATAGATGAATATTGAAATCTATTACTTATAATTTAGAAATTAAAATGGTATCAAAATAATAATGTATTTGCTTTCTTTTTTTTCTATCGAGTTCTTTACTAATAATAAGTCCATTAAAATTTTTATTTACATATACATTTACAATTTGTAATAATTCTGAGTTATGTAGTTATATAATTTTATGTTAACGTAATAACAACGCACTTACGTTGTTATTAATGCTACGTTACTTGTCTACAGTTATATTATCTGGTAGCGCTGAAGAAACAGCTGATAATTCGTATTTTTCATTTTCTCTTATGCGTATTTTCGTTACAAACATCAGTTAATCGAGAATTTTTGGGCCGTAAAGTGGTGTGGCATGTTGTGCCACTCAAAATTTTATATATTTTGTTAAAAATAAAAAATAATCGGAAAAAAGTTATATAAAAAAAAGTGAAGCATAAAATAACAATTAGATATTTAATAAAACAAAAAAAAATTGTTTATATATTGTGTTGGATATGTGAGAATAGAAAAGTTAAAAATATTTGCTGATGATGTCATCATTAAAAGTTCTCTTCCACAATAGACAAAATTGAACATATTAAAATTTTTTGTTTACAATTTATTTCTATATTAATATATGTTTATACGGAAAATTTAAATATATGACTATTTCGTAAACGAAAATTTAAATTACGGTTAATTACGCCGAAAGATCGATAACAAAACTCGGTGCTGACAGCACTTCACGTGTTTTTCGAAAGGCTTTGATAACGTAAAAATAAATTCGTCAAAATGGTTTTAGGAGCATATATATCTGATTTGCTAAACAAATACGCAAGCGAATATTTTTTAAATGTTGATCCAAAACAATTTCAGTTTGGTTTGCTTAAAGGAGGTAATTAAACTAAAATTATAATACTGAAACATTCTTGTAAAATTAAAATTATTTTTATATACAATATGGGAGTGTATGTATCCCAATTTCGACCTTAACCTTGCGTTTTGAATTTTGTCTTGTTTTCAAAATATTTTCATTATCTATGAATACAGTTTCACAATTTGTTGTTGTTTTCTATTTTATTTTCTTTCCTTGGCATTCTTTCACACTGCATGTTGTTGATGAATTTCATCTGTTGCGTACATGCAACATTTCTAAACATCTGAAAAAACTACATCGTAAATATGTTTTTTTTGCTCTTGATAACTGCATATGTTTTATATTAAAACAGTTTTTAAATAAGTAACTTATTATATTGTATTTAAGATCTTATAAGTCGTAATATATATTGAGTTCTTATTGTCATTCATATTCAACATATATCGTCAGTGGTTTCTAATCTGCTAGAAATGAAAAGAAGAAAACGAATCATACCTCTTATCACAAGGCCTACAGATGGCGACTGCAGCACATACATACATATAATTAAAAGATATATTCAAAAAACAACTTAGATAAAATAATGATTTTCTGAATCATTTCAAATTTAATTAAAATTATATTATTTTAGATTGGTAAATAATATATTCAGTTTTTTTTATAAAATGACGTAAGCTACTGTTTAAATGAACTAGAAACCTTGTTACAGTGGCAACTAGTTTAAACAATGCGATGAACTTTACTAGTTTATTTTGTAACTCGTATTCAATCTCTTATAAATAGTGTATGCTATTTTGTCAATACTTATAAGTATATAATAAGTAATTATACTTACTAATTATAAAGTAATTATACTTACTTATACATTATGTAAATTTCATTAAAGGTTTCACTGACGAGTAACTAGTTAGAAAAATCTGTAATATGTGACTTATGATGATATGACTCTCACAACTTTCAAATATCAGAAGGTATCCATAGCAGTTTATAATTATAAATAAATGTATTAAAATTAATACAAGACGGTGTTATCGAATTAACAAAACTCGGTACTGGGACAACTAGTGTGATATGATTTCTTTAATTTATTATAATAAGTCGATACCAAAGTAAACGTATTGTTACTCGTGTTTCTTTTTCTCCTGATTTAATACTTGACATTTACACTGACTAGGCTAAGACAAGATTTTTATCTTCAAATGCATATATGTTTATTCGAATATTATTTGCGAACGAAAATTTACATATGTTAGTCAAAATGTGAGAGTGTTAGCAAAAATAGACGTGTAAACAGCATTCGCAATAATCGGTCAAGAGTGAACAGTCCTGGGGTTTAGATTATGATAACAAAATATAAAGCAAAAATATATAAATATTGTTATTCTCCTATAGACGTCATATGATAAGTGGATGCATTATATAATAAATGTACATACATTAAAACATTATGATTATGTTAAAACATATTTTTTTTTGAATGAAGAGATTGAGGTTTATATAATTTTTGTTACGTATTTGACATAATTATGCTAATAATCATAATTATTATTATACCCAAAATTAATATAAACTATAAAAAATTATTATCATTTCATATATCTTATAATATTTTTAGTATGTAATTCACTGTCTATTGTTTTATTTTAATTGTTTGTAATTTTTGTTTTCAATTCACATACTCAAGCAATTTCTGTGAAATAGCATTAGTCATTATATTTAAATACTTAATAATCTTTTAATATTTTTAAATGCATATCAACAAATATATGTATATAATTATAATTTAATTAAGAAACTCATAAAATTCTTATCAGAATATTTTGTTTATTTTTATTGTAAATAACACCGGCTACTCTCTGATTGACCTCTCTGTTCTGAGAATATAAATAATAAAAAATAGCTCTCTCTCACTTTAAATATTTTGTGAGATAATTGTGTTATGATCAGTATCTATTATATAAAATATAAACAAAAATATTTGTTTTTCTTTCAAGTTTTAATGCCACTATAACTTATACGAAGAAAAAAATATACAAAACTTTTATAGAAAAAATTAGATTGGGCGTTGGCATTCAGATTTCATCTGAATTTTATAAAATTTTACAAAATCTTAATAGTTCTGCTTTTATTTTGTGCTTATTGTATTATTATTTGTAGTATTATTATATACTTGTATATTACGTATAATATTACTATTATTATAGTGTTTTATTATATACTATATTTATAATAATAAATTGTTTATTGTATTAATAGTATATATAATGAATTATCATCTAAATATTTGACGCAACTATGTGTATTTATATAGATAATTATTATATATTTTTAACGATCTAGATTTATTAAATAAAAACATATTAATTGCATTAATTCCAAATCGATTAAACTGATTTCAAAAATAAAAACATGTGATCGATACCTCCTAGTCTATTAGATGACATACAACATATAGATGTTATACTTGACATGATATATTATCATATGTAATATATTTTGTGTATAAAAGACACTACCACTAGCAACTATTTTTTTCTTTTTTTGTTTGTGTTTAATACAATAAGGTTTTTTCTATTTTGTAATTCAAAACTTTATTGTTTAGTACCTAAGAATTAACCTTAACCTGGTCATCCACCTTACCATTACCACGTTAGCCTAGTAAACACTTGTTGAGTTTCTTATAGTTTTTACAATTTTTTGTATTTAAATATTACTGACTCATATCTTTATTTTCATACTATTTTGAAGAGCTACATAATGTCATCATTATTCTTAGTTATTTTATTTTTAAAATTCATATTAACTTCTAATTGCTGAAAATGAAATAAAATGATTTTCAAGTGTCAATTAAAATTGCACAAAAAAAATTTGTGAAAAGTAAAAATAATATGAGATTTTTATTTAAAATTGTATAGTTATGAAAATCTTCTACGACGGACCAGTTTTATGTTTTTTTTAGTAATGTATTCTAGATAAACCTACTTAGTTTATCTTTCTTGCTAATAGTGATATTGCAATGACAGTGGTCCAGTATTTTTAGATCGTTCTTGAAACCATAAACCGTTTCATGAATATAGTATTGATTTACTTTAAAAAGTTGCATATATAAATACTTTT